CGAAGTCTTGTTTCAGCTTCCGTCTAATGAGCTTGCAGAAAGGAGAGTATTTCACCGCCTCGATTCCATCTATCTTCAACTTCTTCCGCTTCTCTAGCAAACTTATCGTTTTTTCAAAGAATCTTCCATTCGCAGAGAGTATTGCCAAATGTTTGTCACATTTTGGCATGACCAAACGAAACCACCATGCTGTCCCTATTACTCGCATGTGGACGACATCTTTCGGCTAGTTGGAACGAAACACAACGGGACAAATTTTTGCTAAAAGGAATTAGCATTAGATGCGCTCCGTTATTCCCATACTCGAGCGTGCAAAGCAACCACAAACTGCGTCACTGCCTCTCTTACAGAATAAACGTTATATTTCCGCCAGAATAAACTGTTTTGCGCGGAAGATTATTTTAACCGAAAGGGCATAATTTTTAGAAAAACGGGAAAGAATGTTGTCTTTATCATTAAACCACAATATTGAAATTTGAACAACGGTCGGGTTGATAGTTTCCAATTGGTACATATGTTTTTGCATGCAAAGGTAGGCTGCTGTTTAGTTATGATTTATTTAATTATCAACTGCCGCGAAATTTTATATCTGAAAGTTAGAGGGCAACGTTCGAATTTTTATTGAGTCAAAACTAATATTTGTCTGATCTAAAACATTACATTTTAAGTACTTATTTATGTATAGGAAAATGATCAGTAAGTACACAGATTCGTGTTATACAGTAAACAGAATTGAAATAGCCATTCTCTTAATTATTATACATTTGAAATTGACTTTTGTTTGAAAATGTCAAAGGTCTGATTATACCATGTTGATTTCTTTACAGAGTGACATAATGAGAGATTGATTGTCAGATTTGCCTGGACCGGAGGTAGAAATGTATTTCGTTTACCATAAAAATTAGTCCTTTTATTTAAATTTTAAACTTCTTCCTGAAGTTTGACGCTTTTATTTCATGTCTACGCATTTAATTCAGCTCACAACAAGAAAACAGTAGTTTCTGTGTAGTAAAGGTGTTAGGTATCTCTGGTCATGTGGTTCGTAACTTATTTGAAGTTGTGCACTTGTTTGTTCTTAATGTAGGAGTTCATCTGTTTATTCCGTTCATCTTCAAGGCTGGTTATTTCTTTTAGGTCACGTATTCAACTGCTTTAATGTGCTTTTCGAACGGCATTGAGACAATAGTCCGTTCCAAAATGCACCATTGTCAGGTCTTTTATAAAGTCGCACCACTTGGCCCATGATTTGCCTTTTGATCATCTGTGTGTCTTTACCAATAGAATGCTTCTTACTAGTCATTTGTGTGGCGTCCTGGTCGCAAAATCGATTATTCAGGTCATTTATGAGAGACAGGTATGACAGTCAATTCAGGAAAATGTCACCGTTTCTTCTGTTGTACTTGTAACCCCTTCAGAGGTAACACTATCTATTGAAAAGTACAATTGGGACAGCGCAAAGTACGAAAAGAACCTCAGGATATTATAAACAGAACTGATGAAACGTAACAGAAGTAATGA